TTCACTTGAAAATACAAATTAAAACTAATACATTCACTAGAAAAACAAATTAAATATAGTTTCTTACTTTTGTGAGGGTTGTGAAAAATAATTAACTTGCTAGAAAATTAATTAATAAAAGAAGAAATGATTATTTACATTAAACTCTGTTATAGTTAATTATATTACTATATTTGCTTCGAACAAATTTCGTAACGCTTTATCGACACATTATATACCAATTTTCTTAATGATTACACAATTACAAAACCAACTGTAACTTCAAGTGTTTTATTGGACTTCCCGGTGATACTCGGTTCTGGCCGAGTGTCGAAGTTAAAAACAACCGAATTGAAAATGGCATCTAAGCCTTAATCTTTGTGGCAACTTACTGAAAGTTACAGTCAATAATTGGTTTAGTAAAGAAATAAAAAACGTATATTGAGCAACAAAGACTGACCGTTCGCTGAACTTCGGGGATTCAGAAAACAATGGGGTTTAATAACAGGCATGGCTTGAAAAGTGGATTTCTGGGGAAGGTGGGTTTTTTGTTTAAAACAATAGGGGTTAGGGTTTGAGAAGTTGGGGCTAGGTATTGAAAATTGAAAGTGGCACAGCGATATGTCTGCGGACTTACAACGCTAGAATCCGGGTTTCGATACCCGTGGTGGGTAGAGCACAGATAGCCCATTGTGTAGCTTTGTGCTTAATTACAAACAAACATAGAAGAGGGACCGCCACCACCTATCCCTCATAAATGTCGTAAGTCAGTTACTAAAGTTCTAGCGGGAAAAGAAAGGAATATTCGAGAACTTTTAGAACTTGAAACGGTAAGAATAGAAACTGAGGCACTACAAACTAGAAGAGAGAATCATAAACTGAAATCGACTGCAAGAGAACAGACTTCTTAAAATCTCCCAAAACGTTGTCAAGAAGAAAAGAGACGGAAATTTGGCAGGGAAAAGAAAAATGGTTTTTGGATCAACTGGAATAAAATATCCGGATAGAGGGGAAATTATACAATCTAAGCAGAAGAATAATGGAAATGAAGTTTGAGAAAAAAGTTTGTTTATGGAAATAAGGAGCAAAATGAAGATGAAAGATTTTCGAAAAGAGAAGATTTTAAAGGAGATAAAAAAGTAGAAATGAAGGTAAAAAACACAAACATCCGGGTTGTACACTGTAATTCAAAGAAACAAAAAAACATGGCTTCTAGAAGGTAAAAACTATCTCCCTTTGAACTTCATGGCCAGGTGGTTAGGGCGCTCGACTCGCAATCTGAGGGTCGCGGGTTCGAATCCCCGTCACACCAAACATGCTTACCCTTTCAGCCGTGGGGGCGTTATAATGTGACGGTCAATCCCA